GACATTCTCCAAGACTTCATCGACCGAGAGGTCGTCATCTGCTACATGGATGACATCTTGATTTTCACTGCCACCCTGGAGGAACACCGGAGGGTCGTCCGAGAGGTCCTGGAGACACTGCGGAAGCAGAGACTCTTCTTGAAGCCGGAAAAGTGTAAGTTCGGGCAGAAGCAGATCAAGTACCTTGGCCTCATCATCTCCGAGGGAAGTGTCGTGATGGACCCCGTGAAAGTCTGCGGAGTTCTCGACTGGCCAACCCCAACCAAGGTCAAAGAAGTACAGTCCTTCTTGGGGTTTGTCAACTTCTACCGCCGGTTCATCAGACTTTTCCAAGACAGCCCACCCCCTCCACATGCTAACCCGCAAAACCAAGGCATGGACCTGGGGACCAGACAAAGACCGTGCCTTCCAGGCCCTCAAAGACGCCGTCACCTCTGCCCTGGTCCTCACCTTCCCTGCCAATACAGGTCACTTCAAACTCGAGTGCAACGCCTCTAACTTTGCGACCGGTGTGGTCCTATCCCAGCTCCAGACAGATGGGGAGTTCCACCCTGTAGCTTTCATGTCCAAGAGCTTTACAGATGTAGAGCGCAACTACGAGGTGTACGACAAGGAAATGCTTGCGATTGTATGCACCCTCGAGGAGTGGCGGCATTTCCTACAAGGAGCGGAGGAGAAAGTTGATGTCTACTCCGACCACCACAACCTAGGGTATTTCCGCACTGCCCAATGGCTGAATCAGTGCCAAGCGCAGTGGTCACTCTTCCTCTCCCAATTCCACTTCACCCTCATCCACCGCCCAGGGAAACTCATGGGGAAACCCAATGCACTCTCGCGCTGCACTGACCACCCGAAAGGCAAGGACGACAATGACGGGTTGACTCTCCTCCAACCCACCTGGTTTGAGGCCTGCACAGCAGAGGTGGTCATGGTGTAAGGCGAAGGGATGACTATCCTCGAGAGGATCATCAAGGCAAAGGACCTGGATGAGAAGGTGGTAAAGGCAATGTGGGAACTGGGAGAGGGCACGCTGAGGTCAGATGAGTGGGAGAAACAAGGAGAGCTGGTTCTGTACAGAGGAAAAGTATATGTCCCGAAAGACCCGCAACTCCGCCACGACCTGGTGCGCTTGTACCATGACACACGCGTGACAGGGCACCCAGGGCAGTGGAAGACCCTGGAACTCGTCTCCCGCGACTACTGGTGGCCACAGATGGCAGAGTATGTCGGGCGGTATGTACATGGATGCGACACCTGCAACTGTGTCAAATCCTTCCCCTCTCGTAAAGTGGGAAAGCTCATCCTGAACAAGATCCCTGCCTGCTGCTGGCAAGTGATCTCAGTAGACATGATTGGAGAACTCCCCAAGTTGAAGGGCTACAATGCTGTCCTGGTTGTAGTGGACCACCTATCCAAATGCATCCAATGGTGACGATGGTGGACTCAGCGGGGATCGCACGGCTTTTCCTTGAACACGTCTGGAAGCACCACAGTCTCCCTGAAGAGATCCTCAGTGACAGAGGGAGCGCCTTTGTCTCGCGATTCTCGAAAGAACTTGTGGACCTCCTTGGCATCAAGCTCACCCCCTCGATGCCCTACCACCCCCAGACAGATGGGCAGACAGAGAGAGTAAACCAAGAGGTAGAGGCTTACCTCTGGGTATTCGTCAACCACCGCCAAGACGACTGGGTGGACTGGCTCCTGCTAGTGGAGTTTGCCTATAACAACTGCGTCCACTCCTCCACCCACCAAGCCCCTTTCGAGCTCGACACAGGCCAACACCCTAGGATGGGGACAGAGCCCACATGCACATCTGAGGTAGAAGCCACTGATGCCTTCTCATCGAGGATGATGAAGATGCAAGAAGAGGTGAAGGCAGTGCTAGAGCATGCAGTGGACGAGATGGCCCACTACTACGACCGGAACCACGAGGTGGCCCCTATGTACCAAGAAGGCGACCAGGTCTGGCTCAGCACCCAGAATTACACAACAGACCGCCTGACCAAGAAGCTGGACCATAAATGTACCGGCCCCTTCACAATTATTAAAGTCATCTCCCCCACCACTGTCAAACTCCAGCTCACTGCCTGACAAAGAGGGATTCACCTGTTAGAACCGGGTGGATTCAGACGACTCCGGAGTGGAATCAGAGACTTAGCATGGAAGGACCTTGGCCTCAGCGACTCAGGCAGAGCGCTGTGCCATTGCTGGTTGTCCTAGGGGTCTGTTAGAGATGGGCGGATTCAGACGACTCCGGAGTGGAATTGGAGACTTAGCGTGGAGGGACCTTGGCCTCAGCGACTCAAGCGGAGCACTGTGCCATTGCTGTTTGTCCATTTGGTCCTTAATTTCACAGTAGGTGAGCAGGAAGTCTCTAGAGGGCATTTCAGGTCGATTTCGGACTGAACCCACGAGTATGTACAAGCACCGATATATATAATGGGAGGGCAAAGGCACAAGGAAACAAAGGGGAACCGAATCGGAACAAAGACGTCCGAACGGGGACAAAGGGAAGAAGGAGCGGAACGGTACCGAAAGGTCATAAGGAAGGACCTGTGATACGTCCGAAAGGAGGTAGGGAGGGCAAGGCCCAGAGGGGCAGGAGGATGAGGAGAAGTGGGGATGATGACTACTGGCTAGAATGGGAAGAAGCAGTAGTCCAAATAGGGATGAGGGGTAAACGCGAGAGATACATTACAAGTGGCGAGAGTGCCGAAGGCGATCCGCGAAGCTCGGGGGTTGCGGAGCTTATGGGGGTTACGGAAGCGGGGTTGAAAGTCTGAGGGATATTGGCAATGGTGTTTACGTAGTATGAGGTCACCAATGCAATGGACTAAGCCCAAGGTGGAGTCAAAGTCCGAGGTCGGGACTATGACAGAGGCTCGGAGCGGAGATACGATCGGCGTCCGCATAAGAAGTACGGGACAGCGGTGGAAGGTCGTAACTTGGCGGAAGGGTGGCGGAGGAGTACCAGAGGGAGGAGAGAGGGGAAAGGTAAGGGGGAAGGAGTGGCGGAGAGGAGGGTTGTCAGGACCGAAGGCGAGTATCGGAGCGGACGGGGGAAGCGTAGGAGGATTACGGGAGGGTGGAGGCGTTGCGGAGGGGGAGTGGAGTAGGAGGAGGAGGAGTAGAGGTGGCGTGGGGGGTAAGGAGGAGGTGTGTTGCCAAGACCAAAGGTGAGTATTGGAACGGCAGCGGTAGGTTATGACTCCGGAGGTGAAGAGGGTGGAGGTCTGGAAGTCAGGTCGGGGTCGGGTATGCACGGATATGACAGGGTCCCTAATTTCGGATCTAGCAGAGGGGAAGTCTCTTGGGGGAATTCAAGTCGATTTCGGACTGAGGTTACAAGTTACTAGGTACATTGTATATAAGGAGGGGTCCGGAATCAAAAGGAACAAGGGTAGGATGAAAGGAGACAAAGGGAGATGGAAAGAGGAACAACACCGAGGGTCAAGTGTTTGACTCAATGGTGTTTCCCAAATGAGGAGTGAAGGGCCAAGGCCCAAGGAGGAAGGATGGAGGATGGGAGTGGGGAATGGCCAGCTGACTGAATAGAAAGGAAGCAGCAGCCCAAATAGGAATGAGGGAGTATAGCAGACTTGAATGGAGCAATGCAATAGTTGCAAGGTCCGACATAAGTCTGGAAAGTCTGAACTCGGAAGTTAAACTCCAGAATATTGGCAAACGTAATTAAATGGGATGAGCTAACCAATACAATGGGTATAAGCAGAGGTGGGGTCAAAGTCCGAGGTTGGAGCTAAGACCGGAGGTTCCGGAGACAGAGATGCAGGATTCCGGAGTGGAGGTCCGGAGTCAGGGGCATAGGTGTTGTGTGCTTGTCTGGGAGGTGTCGAGGTTGAGGTCGGACCTGGAATGTTCTGGAGTCGGACCGAAGGTGGTGTTGGAGCCGGAGGTGGGATAACCTCTTGGAAGTTGGCAAGGAGGGGGTGGAAGAAGGGAAGTAGGACTCTGGAAGTCAGGTTCGGAGTTCCGGGAGCCCGGAGCGGAGGTTGGGATTGTACGGATATGACATCACCCAGTCGTATCTGTGACAAACATCAGACCGCACTGCCCTGATGAGATCACAGAATGCCCTGCCGGCCCCCGCCCAGGCCCAGACCTTGTAGATGGAGAAGAGGAGTACAAAGTTGAGAAAATCCTGGACTCTAAGTGGCTATGCAGAAAACTCCGGTACCTGGTAAAGTTAAACTTCGGAATATTGGCAAATGTAATTAAATGGAATGAGCTAACCAATACAATGGGTATAAGTGGAGGTGGGGTCAAAGTCCGAGGTCGGAGCTAGGACTGGAGGTTCCGGAGACAGAGACACGAACGGGATTCCAGAGCGGAGGTCCAGAGTCGGGAGCATAGGTGTTGCGTGCTCATCTGGAAGGTGTCGAGGTTGAGGTCGGACCTGGGATGTTCCGGAGTCGGACTGAAGGTGGTGTCAGAGACGGAGGTGGGATAACCTCTTGGAAGTTGGCAAGGAGAAGGTGACGGAAGGGAAGTAGGGCTCCAGAGTCGGTTTCGGAGTTCCGGGAGCCCGGAGCGGAGGTCGGGATTGTATGGATATGACACAGTGGGACTGTATTCATATCCACTGTCCAGCAACCACACACCCCTCAATCGGCGCTAAAGCGATGTCAGAAACAGTACAGTTGGGCTGGGACTTCAACCCGACGTGTGCCCTCACCACTGCCTGCCGCTGAATATCCAATACCCAAAGACCTTTATAAGACCAGTGCCCATGCTATACATATATTCCTCAGCGCCAAGCGAGCACCAGTAATCGCCCTTCTTCACCACAAATCGTCCCATTTGGTGTCTGTTCCTATTGGTATGTACTACAGCTACACACATGAATATGCAGCTGAGTGCATGTCTCTCTTACAGGTCGGCTACCGGCATAACTCGGCCGATATACCCACACTTGTTGGGGGAGACCTATCCCGTTCTGCTCCTTTGACCCGAACCCATTAGTTTCTTTAGCAGCTACTCCCATGCCAAGGCATAAGCCTGTAATTCCACCCCTTACTACTTCGCCTGTGAAAAAATATCAGCCATATAATTTAAAAAGACCTAAAAAATATGCCGATTTCCTTGGCCCCCAATCCGCACCTGAATCTGAACCCTCAACGTCCAAAAAGAAAGGACATAAGCACGTCCCAGCCACTGAAGTCCCTATTTCCCAGCTGTCACGATGCATTGAGATAGCAAACGCCAGCAGCACCGTGATGACACAATGCTGGGGGCCTGGCATTGAGCCTATGCATTGGTGGCAGGTGCCAAATTGCCATGATCATGTAGGAAATGCAATGTCAGCGGATGCCAGCAATGTTTCGACTCCCCCTTCAATGCCAGCTCTAAAAAAGGAATCACCAATATGGGAAGCATCCCCTCAGGGTTGGCTGGAAAATATCACAGAGCCCACTCCTTCAGGCCCAGACACTGCTCTGTCCCCTACACTGTTGCGGTCAGCTTCCCGAAAGCAGGCCAAGAGAGCATTACAAAATCTGCAAAAGCAAGTTGCATGGCTCCATTGGCGCTGTGATGTAATACACAAAGCGGTGGAAATCTATCTAGGTCTAGAGGCGAAGAAGGCAGGACATGTGCCCCTTGCCACCCCCAGCGAGACGTTGTATGATGGAAATGGAAAACTGCAAACACCAGCAGCATCGCTGTGCTCCCACTGCAATACATCTTTCCAGTTTCATTCACTCATGATGATCACATTCTCAGGTACATTTGCGTTCTGACCTCCCTTAGCAGTGTCCCAATGACCCTGAGCCAGGTGCCATGTGGTGGACGTTCAAATATTGCAAATGTCCATCCAATACTCTCCTGCTTAGCATCATCCAGTCTGGCTACTTTCCAGGGTCACCTGTAACGCCCCAAGTTGCCTTTCATTTCGACGTCCTTTCGCTGTATTCAGCTTTGCATGTGGACTCGTACACCCTGATTGCCTCCTTTCATGCCACTTTGTTTGCCATGTTATGAGAGAATGGTTACGAATTCACCCACAACGTAAGATCTATTTGTTGCATGTTGGGAGTTGGCACCTTCATGATCCGGCGCACATATAGGACCCCTTTCTGCAGTCGTTTAGCGAGGCGATAACATGGTTTCAAGCCCTACATGACTTGGTAGAGGTTGAAACAGAGAGAGAGTTTCTCCTACCCACATCCCCTGCAGCACCCGATGCACTGCTATGTCATTCCATGCCGGTTGAGTCCGCTGCATTTACCCATGTCGCTCCTGCCCACAATGGCGATCCGTCGGTCACTGCATCCCATGGCATGATGACCGTTAACCATGGCATCCCAACCTCCATAGGGATGTTGTTGTGGGGACAAGTCCGTGCAGGTCAAACCAACCCTTATCACACATTTCACCCCCTACTGCATCAGGGACTAGGATTGGTGAGTCGTGGTAATAGTAGGAGTTGTAGAGACTGTAGAGATGGTTCTGACGAGTCCAAGATCGTCGGATTTGGTGGAGTGATTGAAGAGATATGACTTTTTCTTTATTTTCCTTACTATTTTCATTCATTCACATGTGACTTTCCTTTTATATTTGTATCGGACTCTTCCGTGACAACTGTACAGACAGTTAGTTAGAGGTTAGACAGAGTATCAGCACCGTACTCCCAAGAACCATCCTACCTGAGAGATAGAGAGAGACCTACCCCCCTAGACCTGAGCCACGAGTCTAGATTGATAGACCCGTTACAACATCACCGGACCTTCCATCGTGAACAAAGCTGATTCGCAACCCATCCGACAGCAGTGCAAGTCCATACCTCCGCATGAGATGCCTGCAATGTTTTGGAGGCTCAATGTGGGGCAATTCAGCCAACGAGTTAGTCCTCTCATACATATGCTTCGGGAACAGGCTAAGCGATTCCCTAGATATCCTGATGTCATCGTCGCCATGAATGGTAATATGCAACATAAGCAATACATGTTCATTGGAGGAGAGATGATTCTTCCCTGGAATGAAACTTGCACATTCCTCACTGATGCCAAAATCGAGGAAGCTGCCTGCCATATCTCTGATGCACGAGCTGCATCTAGAGGCTGTTCAGAAGTATCTCATCCCTCATCCCTTGTGCTATTGATGAATGCAAAAAATCACACAGAGCCACGAAACATGGAAAGCAGTCAGCCTCAAAAACGGATACCTTCCGTTCGAAGGGCCTAATGGCAACCATATGCCATCATGACATCCCCCTTTTCCTCTGCAATGTATGCACTCCAGGTGAACAGCAGCACTTTTCGATTGCCATGCTCCTTGCACTTAGCCACCAACTACCCTCAAATGCCACTATTGGATTAATGTATGATGTTGGGTGTGTTCTTGATCGATTGATCGCCAAGGTATGGCCTTGCATGGTCTGCAACTACAACCTCTGATATTTGAACAAAGTACAATCTTATCCCCGAAATCGCTCCTAGATTGAGCATCACCATTTCAGTCTTCCATGCCTATGCACATCAATTCTGTTGTCAAATCGCATTTCACCCCTGGAAACGAAATGAGCGATTATGGTCCTTGATTGTTGATACAATTGCACCTGAACGCATAATGAGTGTGAGTCCCAACACTGTTCAGTCGACAACTGTCAGGGCACACCCGCCTGACCCAGCCCCACCCGGCCCCACTTCACCCGGTACCCCGCCACCCAGTCTTCCCCTACCTCCTCCCCCCCTTCTTCTTTCTTTCTTTCTCCATTCCACTCTCTCTTTACTTATCTCACCTTCTCTTTATTTTCTCTTTATTCTACATGGACAACCTTTCCTTGTATCAATGTACCATTGACCCACCTGCAGCACACTCACGACACACCCAGCCCGGGTGCCTCGGGCAACCCCCGCTATGTCCAGCTCGCGTGTTCACAGCAGACGCCCTCGGGATCCCCCACGGGGACACCCGGGTGACTACGGCTGTATGCGAGGATGATGTGGCACCTGTCATGTGACCTAAGCCGCATGTATATAAACATACCTGAAGTGGGAACCGAAGAAGTAGCCTTCTTCTCACCCTTTTCCACTTCAGTCTAAGTGGCCAGGGACTGCCTCCTGAGCCGGGCCCGCCAGTATGCACGCCCGCTCCACACCCCGTGAGGCTTCTAGTGTCAGGCGTCTCACCCGGGCCTCCTCTACCCTGGACGCGTCCCTGACAACAACCCTCTCTTATGCAATGTTGTCCCAAAACTATAGCCGGCAAAACAAATCACAACTATCGACAACAAAATCAAGATGATTGCATGCTGTGGCCGAGACTGCCTTGCTTCATTGGCTAGGTCCAAATTGGCTGCCATTGTTCGTGAGGAGGCACTTCTAACTGACCTCCTGCAAGATTTGAAGAGTAAGAGGGGATTCACAACTCCTTTCCTTCAATCCCAGTGGGAAGAGCAAAAGTCTTTGCAGCTCTCTGTATGCCCATTCCCGATCTCATGTTTGGCATTGACTTATGCTGTTATGCCCTAGACAATGATCAAGCCAGAATGAAAAAGTTCGCCAAACTTTTGGAAGCCGAACAATCAGCCCAGGCACATTCGGATGCATTGGACACCATAAAGGAGCTGGACCATATCAGCTTGGCATGAACACTGTCCCATAGTCCTATCGATCTCATGGAGCATTTCCAAGCCGCTCAGCATGTACGATCATTGCATGATAAATCTCAAGAATGCCTATGCGATCTGACAGCTCAAATTGGCCTGTCCGATTTGAAACTTCCGCAAAATCTGTCTAGCACAGAAAGGGACTACATGGAGAAGTACATTCTGGCCCAATTCCGCAAACATGCCATTCTTATCCACTTAGCCAAGTACCAGGACAAGATTAACCCTATTTGGAGCTCACAATGGCATGGAGGATGGCTGGTTACAAAAGTCGGTAAGCATACCCCATTTGAGGCAAATTCTGATGTGCTCGAAAATTCATCCGGTACTTTGAGGATATTTGAAAATGGTCTCAGTGTTCAATAGTGCAAACGACCATGCCCGTATTATTTCCACCCATGTTGCACAATATAACGAGCTTGTCAACTGCCTTGAGCGTTCTGTTAGGCCATCCTGGCTCCCGGACTCTTTGAAACACGCCAAAATGAATGTCAAGGAGCTGCTTAACATGGATCCCAGTGATGAACAGTGGACAAAGATGTGGGAGAGCCTGTGGGATTCCAACTGGAACTTGGACGAGAAACCACCAGCTTTTATCGTCAACCAACAGGTTCACCATGGCATAGTAGTGGTGCTATCGCTCGCTCATATTGAGGAGGAAAAGCTTAGGCTCGCTTGAGAGGAACTTAATGTGCACACCTGGATTGTCCAATCGGTAGACTTGTTGATTCGGATCACGGACAATATTCATCATATGTCCTACAAATTCCACATTACCAATGTGCTGATTTGTCCTCGATCCCAGCCCTGTTTAAATATCGATGGCAACTCCGCATAAAGTTGTTACTCAAATGCCAAGATATGATCGTGAATGGACCATTTCCTCATGTCAATCTATGGCATGCATCGCCGCACTATCTGCTAGCAAACCTAGAACGTCCAGACTCCCAAGCTGCACCGATGTCAGGGCCCGGCCTCGGACTCGGAGGCTCCTTGACCTCAGCCCTCATCTAACCTGTCCTCACACTATGCGGGGCATGAGATGTATAGTAAAAAGGAAAGATAATATACACTTGCCTATGCGGGGCATGAGATGAGAAGAAGGGTAAAGGTCTCATCTCCCCGCATGGTTGCTATATAAAGGAATGGGTCACATGCCCACAACTATACAGCTCCTAGAGTTGTGTAGTGTGACCTGGAGGGAACATCCAGGTGGCAGTGCCCAGTAAGCGTGGGAACGTTCTGGGCGAGTTGCTTGCCCAGAACTGTGGCTGTGACCCGTGGGAACATTCTGGGTGAGCTGCTCGCTCAGAAAGTTCCCACGCTATCCCGTGCGCGCATGTACACAACACACAAAGGCAACAACAAGGCAACAGTCAAAGAATAAAAGGGGGTAAAGTAGGTGGGGAGTCCGGGGCACCCTAAGGCAGGGTGCTGAACCCTGACAACCGAGTACTGCGGAGTATTCTTCTTTCTGCCTTCCCCCCCCTGGTTCTGCCACTCTGGCCTCAGGAACCAATGGCATAGACCCCAAAGATGATTCTCAAGTTAGAAACGAGCTAAGCACACTCGATGGACTTATCAGGATGAGCCCAGAGCTGGGTGTAGCTGATGACGATGAGCATGTTGAGCCCTACCTGTCTACCGACAGTGGCAGTGGCCCAGGTGATACTCTCAGCCCTGAGATGCTGGTAAACCCTCCAGATAGCGAACCTGAGACATGGCCAGATGAGACAATGGACCCCACAGACAATGTCGAAACACATGCTGAGCCTCTTACTGACTTGGTCCCTCCTAGTGGGTTTGGAGATGTGGATAGTCCCAGCTGTGACGAGGATATTGAGGAGAGGTTCTGGAATGAGAACCCTTGTCCCCAAAGCCTTCCTCCAATTAGAACAATCTTCGATGCCATCCACTCACCCACCCAGTCTACCCAACAACAAAAGCCAACAAAAATCTGGAAGGAAATAATGGAGTTGCATTTACCTCAGGAGACTGAAAAAGTAAGAATGTTTCCAAGTTCCCCTGTGACTGATGCCACTGATGTCTCATTAGATAGTGAACGACAGCAAGACCAGAGACAAAGCAAGATATTACAAACATATTGCGATCTTCCCTGATGAACTACCAACAGTCAATCGCTGGTGGCTGATACACAGAGCAATAATCGATGCCTATGTGATGCTGAAAGACCTTACAGATGAAAAGCTGCAGGACATACTCAAGACCACTCATCCCTGTGTGATTATGATTCCTACCCAGTGTGAAGGAATGAGACATTGCATGGCAGTTTGCCTGTTGGATGTATGTGGGAATACACCGATGGAATCTGTACTGACCAATATTTTAGTGAGCAACAAAGAAGGTCTGAACCAATCTTTTCAATGCAACCAGTTGGACGATTCCATGTTACTCAAGGAGGCATGGTCACTGGCTGCTCAGTGTTGTCAACTTCAAACAACGAGAGCTGCACTATCTTGACAGCATACCTCTACAACAAAGTGCCCATATCAATCACCATGGTCCACAGTGCGTGTTTACAGTGCGTTTCCTAATTCTAGCCCACATTCCAGTCTTAATGTTACCGCTTTCTTCAGATACCTCGAGGCCTAGTTAATGCCATCTGGTTGTTCATTCACCCTGATGATGAGCATGGATACAACTGGTCCAATTGGTCCACCAGAGTAATCACTGTAGGTGTGCCATCTTGCTGTATGAACATCATATACATTACAAGTCCTAGATGGAACAGCACCAATGGAACAGGTATGATTGTGGGGTTTGGACCATGGCTGACATTCAAGCTGTACACATCAGGCTCGATGCTGCACCGAAAGACACGAACATCGATGATTTTCGGGATAGGGTGAAACACCAAATCCTTTCTATTCCTCTGTTAACACCGAGCTGGCAGCCTACCTGGAGAACCCTAAATCCTGACCTTATTTGTGAACTGTGGTGCTGAGCTGCTAAAGTGGCCACAAACTTTCCCGTTGATTATGCCCAGCTTGGAATTGATCATATGGACATTCCTTTAGTGTTAGATAATGAACAGGGAAAAATAGATTTAACTGACTAGCGGAGTTTATGTATGCCAGTGTTGAGCCTCTCCTAATAAGATACTTGATGCACCAGTCAAGAGTCAAGCATTCTAGGCTGATGTGTCAGGGACAGCTCCGAAAGCAGTGAAGTCCCAGCATGAGGGACTTGGTGGGACAGATGTTGGCTGTGCATAGCGGTGATCCCGTTGTGGGGTGAGCATCCCTGACCACTTAGTCTGAAGTGGGAAGTTGAGAAGAAGGCTGCTTCTTCTGTTCCCACCCCAGGTGCTATTATATATGCGGTTAGGGTCATGTGGAGGAAGCCACATCATCTCTGGGCACAGCTGCACCTCCCTGGGTGTCTCTGCAGGAGATCCCAGAGGTGGCCACTCAGTAGGCAGGAGTGTGCATGGCACGTGTGCCGATCAGGGGAGCGGGGTTAGGTATGTAGTGGTACATGGAGAAAAGGGAAATCGACCATAGAATAGAAATAGAGAGAAAGGGGGAAAAGGGGAAAGAAGGGACGGGGAGTGATAGTGGGGGGAGCAGAGTAGGGCAGTACAGCGTGGGGTGCAGTGCAGGGTCAGGCAGGTGTGCCCTGACACAATGCCAGGTAGCAGCAACCTGGAAACGATGACATGGGATGCCAGGAGGCACTCTTAACCTCCTTGGCTTATGTTCCGTCATTTTGAAGAACTGTCAGTTGAAATCAGTACAAAAACAGCTCGCGTTCCCAATTAAGCGGACATACATTCCAGTACTCCACAAGCACGTTGAGGCAGGCGAAGTGGAAGACAATCCATCCAAATCGTCTTTTGGTGACTTGAACTGCAGGAAGTGGTAGGCAAGTATAAATTTGGTGGTGCTACATGGTACTATGCTCGTTTGAGTGAAGTCATTCAGAAGGTTGCCTGTATTGGGGGACTTCTTGCTGCTCTCATTCCTGCAACACTGCATGAAATGGACATGTGTACACCTGTAGGACATCGTCCCTTCTGGAGCTTTTGAGTGGTCCACATGCTCAAAATCCAGATTGGCCTGACACCACACTTCATAACCATCCTCACTGCAAAACGCTCAAAATTTCGAATGGTGTGCCATCTGGTTTCAAGAACAGTGAGCTGGGGCGTTTGACGTCTGAGGTGCAGTGACATCTGTCATATAAGCCTGTAACCTCTAGCTGGACCATTTCGCATCACCAAGCATGTAATGGGTGAACTTCCTACTTTGTAAACCCTGTCGCAGCAATCTCCCTGTGTCCCCTGTACATTTCAGCTTAACTTCTCTCTTTATGTTCATTATGCTAACTTACATCTCCTACCTTTTAGTTTTTCCCATGTTTCCTCAGAGCGTGTTGTTCTTTTGTTGGCTTGCTTCTCTCCTACCTCGCCTTTCACTGCATGATACAGTAAGTTATTCATTCTTGCCAATGGTGAAGACACTATCTTCGGTGGGTTTCAGCAAGTTGGGCCCCGAATGAGTTTGTGCTGTGACCGCCCTTCCTTTTTGTCATCTACAAGTGGGTTCTTCTCTTTCTAACCTGGGCTTTCACATCTTCTGTATCGGCGCTACCACCCTCCCCTATCTCCTCTTGTTAGTTTTTCCTTTCTTTTTATCATTGTATGTCCGGGCCCATGCTCTGTTTGTTTGCATGCATGATGTATAATGGCTAAAACGTGTCAACATAATGTATTTTCAGCTCCCCCCAACAAACACCTGTAACCTGGGCGGTAACTTCTGGATAAGTAAACTAAACTAAGGCACCCGTTTAGATCTCTGTTCAAAGTCTCTGAACATCATCCTCCAGCTCCATGCATCTCGATGTGAGCTGTGCATACTCATCAACATTGACGCTGCAGTGGGGGCACTTCGGGTTCTCTCTGATGGCAGGCCAATGTTCCATAGCTGAGAATTCGTCATCCATTTCTAGCATGCCTGAATGCGCCATTCACAGTACCGGATGTAGTGCTGGTTTGGCCTGCCATAGTATTTCTTAGTATTCAGCCTTGCCTATTAGCGAGGCATCTTACTGCTCAGGTGTGTGAGTTCCCATTGAATGAGTAGCAGATACCTTGGTTGTGGCATTCAGGGGTTCCAATACAAGCCCGATCTCTCTTATTCAACGACATGTTAGCCTACAATCTATTTCTGACATTCACAATTGTCTCCTACACTTTGAGTCTTCCACAACGATTGCGTTGTTTCAGTGTATTAGCTGCCCGGTGCTCATCAGCTGTTGTGTACAATTGGGGGCGTCCACAACCCCATTTCTCCACAACACCAGCTAATACAGTGCTTCTGTCCTATAATACATTATATCAGCGGTTAAAGAGTCATCAGAAGAGGCAGGTAGCACCTCATGAGTATTCATGACAGCTTCAGAATTATTATGACAACTTCACACACCAATTGAAGTCACGAGCCTGCAAGATCAAACACCATTTTCAACACTTTTATCTTTTTGAATATGCATATTGCCTCTGAGCCCCACCGTTAAATATTAGTGCACATCTGTTCTATAATACACTATTAAAGAACCATCAGAAGAGGTGGGTGGCACCCCCTTGATTGTCCATGACAATATTGTCATGATTAACTCAATAGAGGTCATGAGCCAGTGGTTTCGTTCGCCTGCTCCACCTCTCCCCATCTTGCTTCCTCACCTTGTGGCTCTGCCACCATGGCCAGTGTCACATCTTTTCTCTCAGTCAGGTCCCAGATGTATAGCTGCATCGTCAAGTAAGTAACAACCTCACTTAATATATTCTACAGTTCCCATTCAAAACAGAGGAGCCGCAGCTTAGTGGCGTTTGGTGTTTCTGGAAAGCAGAGTGTTCTAGCGACTCACTGCTATTACAGAGACATCAGATGCCCCCCCCCACTCAAATCACTCAGGTCGTGTGGGGTGTTTACACACCGCTGTACCAGGGTGCGAGAGATCTTTCCACTGTGGTGTCGCTTTGACTTCCCTTTGCTTGGCATCCCAGGGCAAAGCCCACTGGTAGGCCATGCCCGGCTTTCGACACGTCTCCAACTACTCAGGTCATGTGGAGTGCTTACACACTGCTGTACCAGGGTATGATAGATATCTCTGTGTTTGTTGCCTTTGCACCTTTTTGCCCAGCACCCTAGCTCGAAGCCTGATAACAGGCCACACCTGGCTTTACACACGGCTAGGGCTCCTAGCGGATCGGATCGGTCCGGATCCGGATCAGAATAAGCGAATTTTTAGAGGTTTGAAACAAAAACCGTATCCGGCAGTTAGCAATCCGCGGATATGCGGATCAACCGCGGATTATAGATAATACGTTCCAAAATTATATTTTGTTAGAACGGCCCTGATGAGAGCTTTCTAACAATACCAAATATGTCCATATTGGTGGAGAACTGACAGAGATATGGGGAAAATGGCACAAAAGAGGGGTGTCAGATGCCAAATTTGGAAATAACGGGCCTGGGTGGTTAGATAGGACTTGAAAAAATTGGGAGAAAATATAAAAACATAGGAGCGGTATCTAGGGAAGTGGGATATATTTAATCCACGGACAATCCGCCTATCTGCGGACTAGAAACCATGAATATTCCTCTCAAAAGCCACAGTAGAGTAGGAGTTACAGTAAATATGGGGAATTTCACCCTTATAAAACTGCAGATAATCCGCAAATCCGCGGATTAAAAACCGCAGATATTTTCCTCTGAAAATCCAAAACCGGATCCGTGAATTTCCGGATGCAGTTGCGGATATCTGCAGATCATCCAATCCGCTAGGAGCCCTACACACGGCTGATCTTCCAACTGCCATCTTACTCCCTTCCTCCACAAAGCCACTTTCCTCCAGCTTGCACTGCATTTGCATTCATGAACATGAGTTCTGAAGCTGTTGTGACATCGCCTATCCCTGTTCCCAATGCTGAGCATGCTCACCAAGGCTGGAAAGTAAACCATCAGGGTGTATTCTATATTCGTGCACTTGGGCCACCCACACAGGACAGCCCACTGCATCCTGGTCGCTTTCTTTCAGGCATGGAACAAATTGCGAAGGTGGAGGAGGTGATTAGTCCTGTTGTGGATCATTCACTGGATGGAATGTTTCAGAGATGTAAACTGGATCCATCGTACTCGACGCATTACTACCATGCTGTGTTTGATGTATACATCCTTCCATCCTTAATCCTCATTCCCCGACCATGGCTTCAAAATGCGATTAATTCATGTATACAAAACGACTCCGAACTCTTTCCTCCAGAACATAACCAATTTCCCCATGGAGCGCGATGGTATTTGCAGTGTTTTGTTCATCCTATGCCACCGCCTATACCATCACCCGAGCCTATTCCCTTTGCAGACCCTGATGGTAAAGCCAGCTGGACTGTAGAAAGACTTTCAGAGAAGTCTTCCTCAAGAGGCTTGACCCATCCGAGTGGACAAAGTCTATGAGGAAGGCAACAATGGACAATGACCAGGGTATTGTGGAATGCATCTGCGTGTGGCACTACATAGAGAATATCGATTATGCAGCATCAGGATTGCTCGGCATATTGCATGAGATGGCCTCTATATTCGACGATACCCATTATCGCAACTGTTACAGGCCTGCCAGACCAACGTACCCTCCTGGGGCAGTTTGGTTCTTTTCTCTGTACACTTTGACACAGGGTGGACATATCCTGCTGAGATTCAATGGTCATCCATTCTGCCACCTGGAGGATGATGATGGGGTTTCATCTGATCCAGAAGAGTTCCTTAGCGAGAACAACTGGGATGAAGAGGAGCCTTCTGCATCAGCCTCAGAAAGGAATAATTCTCCTGTACTATCAACATCACACACCTTTCGCCTCCACTCCCAGCATGGTGGAAGGCCTAGGGGGCATTCGCCACATCCACAGGTCCCCCCTCAGA